GCATCTGCATTCAGTCGGAACATATTAATGTTGGTCCACTACGTCATTTATGTACACAGAAAATAGATATACATGTAATTTTTACATACGTTAGAAAAATCAATTAATTCACATGTCAGTGATATAATTAGGTTCAACCTATAAGAAAAACATAATTGAGCTGGCAAATACCTGAATGACTAAGGAAACATCAGGATAATTCATTCCACGTGCGGATACATCAGAGGTAACAAGAATCAGTCGTTTTGATACCTTGAATTCCTCAGAGATACGAGTTCGATAGAGTTGAGGCTTCCTGGAATGCATCTCCTTAACATTCATTTTCATTTCACGAAGAACATGAAAGAGGAGGGATGTTACCATTCCAGTCGTACAGAAAACAATAACCTGAAAGATACAACGTTAGGCCTCAGGCACATACAACACAACCAAACATTTGAATCCACAAGCTATAACATCAAACCTTATAATCAGGTGATTGCGAGATATGCTCCATCAGAAGCTGGTGCACTATTTGAAAATGCAATTCATGTGGTTCAACAAGACATGACTGCTTAACCTGCACTCACAAGTAGAGATCGATTCATTACTCCAATGTCATATTTTATGCTTCAGGTATTATCAGAACCATTTCAACCATCTATAATAAAGTAATTAAAATGATGTACACCAGAACTGTTTCACATTAAGAGGCTGAACAGAGATGTAAAAGCAAGATTCATAATAAATTCTATATTGGAAACTACACCAACTGGTCAATGTTATATACCTTATCATGAGTTTCAACACAACCTAAACCCACTGTGTCAACAAAGGCATGGTCCTTCTTCAAGACAAGCTGTGATATTCGGCGAACCTGCATATTCATAATCAAGTAAAATCTGGGCTTTGAGTGGTTTCATACAGCAAAATATACCAAGTGCCTAGTAAAATTGTTCCTTTAAACTTCAGACTTGAAGTATAAGGATAGTCGAACCTCTTTTGGAATTGTTGCAGTAAAGAGCAAGGACTGCCTTTGACGAGGCAAACAATCAACAATTTTCTCTATATCCTTCCGAAATCCTAGGTCTAACAAGTGCCCAGCTTCATCAAGTATCAGCATTTTCAGTCCCATCAATCGCACCGACAAGCCTGACTTATTCTCAATGTGGTCCAGCAACCTGCCAGGAGTTGCAACTATTATCTGCGAAACATTTGTACAATGGATTCTTACTCTCTTCACAACCACACTAAAATTAAGCAGGACTTTCAATGACCAAGCCAAATGTACAAACCTGGCATGGATTTGATTCTAGACGTTTCTGGTCCTCTTTGAATCGCGTGCCCCCAACTAATGTTTGCAGACCTATGCCATCATGGTACTTCAACAAAACATTTGTTTCTGCAGCTATCTGACTTGCAAGTTCTCTTGTAGGGCAGAGGATAAGAACAAGAATTGGAGACACCCGTTGATTGGTATTGCTAGTCTTAGCCTTCACAACTGCTTCAATAGCAGGAAGCTGTTTGTGTTTAACAAGAGAATTGAAAAGAAAGAACCTAAAATGCTATGAATAACTCTAAAATAACAAAAAAGTAAAATGATGTACCACAAAAGCTGCAGTTTTTCCGGTGCCTGTTTTAGCTTTGATCAATGCATCTTTTCCTGTAACAAATAAGAATGAAAATCATCGCATACCGTTTGATTTTTTTGTTAAAAGAATCGTCACACCCTTTTTTCAAGTCAATTAGGCCGGAGGACCCAGAAATTAACTATCGATCATTTGATATGATCATATGAGTTTGGACAAATTGATTAACTAAACGTCCCCTAGAGGACACCTTAGCAGATTAGGATCTCATCCAACCCTAGGATGACTTGGGTTTGAACTACAAGTGGAGGCGTTCTATGTAATTTAACAAGGAAAGAAAAAACCAAATAACATGGCTAAAACAAGTAGCCAACTCCTCAGCTTCAAGACAAACAGAAAGAGCAGCCTCCTGTACCCTTGTCATTTGAATATAGCCAGCAGAAGTCAGTGCCTTGACTGTCAATGGAGATATACCACACCCATCAAATCTGCCAAAAACCGAAAACCAACCAGATCACCAATGGGCACATACACATTTAACTGATCAAAGACTAAAATTTTAACATGTCCACAAATGTAATATAAGAAAAACAACCAAAGTACAATAATTTTGCATACCTCTTTCCACTAAGAATTGTCTCCTCCAGTTCCCTATCCTCCCCTCCTTCATTTCCAGCAGCATTTTTCTTACTAAGCTCATACCTTATCGACTCAACCTGCTGCGCAAAATCACTCTCCTCGTCTAATGAATTAAGGGGCACCCTCCTCTTAATAATCTTCACATCATACTTTCCCAATGAAGCACTATTCCCTAATTTCCTCACATTTCTCCCAAATTTCGAATTCTCATTAGCAAAGGGCTGTACGGACTCACCCTCTGAATCAAAATCCGAGTCTTCATCACTTGAATTATCGTTTCTTCGAAAGCGCCCTCGGCTCTGAACTGAGTAGTTCCTACCCCTAACGTGATTGCCACTCAAATTTATCAAGTTTACACTTCTACCATTTCCCGCCAAATCACGACCTTTCGATATCAGCTTCCTCAGGTCTAACGGCGGTGCGGTAACCGATCTCGTCCGTGCGTCCGAGCCAACCGGTGGAGGCCGGTCATCAATCGGCCCATCCTTTTCGTTCCACAAATCTTCTGCGCCTTCTTTCATGAACCGATCTGCTAGGGCTTTAAGGTGCTCGTTGGGGTTCATAGGGTTGTGCCCGGTTTCTGAACCCTGATTTGAAAACGGGTCGGGTTTCCCGGCGACTTTGGCCCGGATTTGGGAGCGGAGACGGGCCTCGTAGAGCTGTTTCTCTTGTTCTAAGAGGCACTTCTCCTTCTCTTTGGCTCGTTTTTCGTGCATGCGCTTCCATTTCCATTTGGTGACGCCTCCCGGGAAGGTCCGGGGCCCGCCGCCCATGGGTCGGGTCAGTACGAACCTGCATAGAAGCTTCGAGAAGTCTCTCGACCGTTCCAAAAGGATCGAACCGGACATATTGTGTGTGGTTAGTGATTCAGTGATCGAAGAGATGGGAGGAGAGAGAGAGAGAGAGAGGGGAAGGGTTTTATTGGTTTAGGGTTTAAGGAAGACGATGGGTATGGGCCTACATTTTAATGTGAAGCAGAGGTTTGTCATGCTTCGCTATAAAATGGGCCTTTGCTATAAAATGGGCCTCTGTTGTTATTTTCAGGTTTCTCTTTTTCTTTTTCTTTTTCTTTTTATGGTCGCAATTTGTTATTATTTTCAGTTTAAGGAAGAGAAAAAAATGTCGTACAAGTGGTTAAGAGCGTTTAACCCATACACGAGTCCGAGTCCGAGTCTTATAAATATTTTCTTTCTAAATATTTTGTTAAAAATGTGATGAAGTTTAACACAAGGCATTTGAAGTCAAGTTTGCTAAATGTCAACTAGCTTTTGGTCTATTAATATCTCGTTCTAATGTTAGAAGACACTGGAAACTCAAAGTGTTGCTATCAACAAGTTGCAACTTGCAAACCCATTGATGAAAACAAACAAAAATTCATGCAAGTTAAAAACCTAAACATAGAAATAATAAGAAGCTTTGTCAGCCCTTACCTCAATGGATCTTAAGACAACAGAGAACTTAAGACCATTTCATTAAAAATAAAATAAAAAAAGTCAATACGGGAATATAATATCCCCAATAATTCATGGTGGCTACGGGGCCGGAGACACATTGGAAAGCAAAAGCATTTTGGAAAGATGTCATGGCATACGTCACCAGTAAAAACTCATAGGTTGAATCAACTTTGACAATTTAGGAGATGAATAAACTATAAATATCTTCAAGAACAGAAAGCAAAAGCACTCGGAATTCCTTGTAAACCATCATCTACAGAAAATGGAAGAAACAACAATCACTTTTGGATCTAAGAGGTACATCTGTCTTTCAATTTGTTTGTTAATTTCACCATTGAATTAAAATTCTTTCTTAATTTTGGTTTTGAATTTCCTCAAAATAGGATTGCAGTTGTAACTGGAGGCAACAAAGGGATTGGATTTGAGATAAGCAGGCAATTAGGTTCTAATGGAGTTGGGGTGATATTAACTGCAAGAGATGAGAGGAGGGGCACGGAAGCTGTTGAGAAGCTAAAGGCTTCTGGCTTCTCTGATGTGGTCTTTCATCAGCTGGATGTCACTGACCAAACTAGCATTGCTTCTCTGGCTGATTTTCTCCAAACTCGGTTTGGAAAGCTTGACATATTGGTAGCTCTTTTGATCTCTCTCTCTCTCTCTCTCTCTCTCTCTCTCTCTGTGGCAGAACGTAAGAATCGAACTGTATTAAACATGGTTCGATGCTTGCTTTCAGAGAAGGAGATGCCTAAACTTTTTTGGCCAGAAGCAGTTCGATGGGGATTGCATGTGTTAAATAGGAGTCTAACTGTGGCAGTAAAAGAAAAGACTCCTGAAGAGTGTTGGAGTGAAAAAAAACCCAATGTCGAATACTTCAGAGTTTTCGGCTGCATTGCTAACGTGCATATTCCTGACAAGAATAGAGTAAAGTTAGATGAGAAGAGTCATAAATGCGTGTTTCTTGGAATTAGTGAAGAATCTAAAGCCTATCGGCTTTATGATCCTACGGCTAAAAGGGTGATTGTTAGTAGGGATGTTGTGTTTGAAGAGAATGAGAGCTGGAATTGGAGGAGTGATGAAGACGTGAGGAGTGATGTCTTTACTTGGGTAGATAGTGATGATGGGGAAATCAGTGACTATGATGAGGAAGAAGAAGAAGAAGGTGAAGATGAGGAAGAACAAGTAGAAGGAGCTGATTCGGGTACAGAAGAGTTGGAAGGAGAAAATGATGCTGCTACACCAGAGGAGAGAGTTAGGAGAGCACCTCGATGGATGGAAGACTATGTTAGTGGAGCTGGTCTTTCTGATGAGTCAAACTTGACTTGTTTTATGGTACATGATGATCCAATATTTTTTGATGAAGCAGTGAAAAAACAGAAATGGAGGAAAGCGATGGATTTGGAAATGGAAGCTATAGAAAAAAATAAGACATGGGAGCTTGTAAGTTTGCCGAAAGGGATGAAGAAAATTGGTGTCAAATGGGTTTTT